TGTTGTTTTGTGGCCCGTTGTTGTTGCCTCGCTGCGCCCACGCATCAGCTCCAGCCGCTTGCTGTGCCCTGAAGTTTGTTCGTGGTCTCGATCCCATCGTGTCGTCTTGTGGCGTGTTGTAGTAAAAGAAAACAAGTTTGCTCTGCGTGTTTCCCCAAATAAGAACGCTCGGTTCTGCAGCAAGTGGTTGGCTGGCGTTGTCTACGATCAGGAAGAGCATCACAAGATCCGGACCCTAAGGCCGAGAACAAACGTGAGCACTCTTCGCCACCCCAGAACGTGAGAGAACAGAGGCCAATAGAAACTGATTTTAGAGCTTTGCAGTCGCCCTCCCTCATTCAAGAGAAGTACGACACATCTAAGAGAACAAGCATCCGTGGTCCAGTGGCAAGATTTCCGCCTGCCACGCGGGAGACCCGGGTTCAATTCCCGGCGGATGCATATCTTTTTGCCCCTCCCTCCCCCTTTTCATTCACTGCATCTCCTGCTACTGCAACATTGGCCCCCCCACATCTTTGTGTCTTTACTGCCAAGTTATGGAAGTTGTAAAGCGGCAGTAAAGATGGACGCATGGCCTGAGTGATTAGAAATATGTTCTGTTGACATGACAATTTCATGGTATGCTTGTAAGATGGAAGTAGTTGTACACCTAAAGTTGTAGTTGTACACCTAAGCATGTGGATGGTACACCTAAAAGTCTCCACCAAACACTGCAGCCAGCTTTTGCACAATGGCAGGAGTAGTTGCAGTCTTGGTGTCCTTGTGGATCTGTGTAGTTTTTGTACAGGAGAATGTGAACATCACACCTGGCAGGGAAGAGGACCAAGGGGAGGACAGGTAAGGTACCAGGATGACAAAGTTATCAGCAGTGGTCTCGTCGGGATGATAGAAGTATGCAGTGTTGCGGCCAATCTGTGACCAAAAGCTCTCTGGCAGACTATCGATGTCCAGCAGGTAAAGATCATCAACTGCGCACACAACACGCACACACAACACACCAACGCGACACGGAGTAAGCACCAGAATCGGTGTGGTACGCGTTGAGTGGGAGCGTACATGTCTTCTCGGTGCCAGGCTCCTTCTTGGGATTCTGGGCGGGCACCCACACGCCGTCGTCGTTTTGCCGCACCGCCATCATCTGCACGGCGAGGTAGCGGAAGAACACTGGTGCGATCTTCTTCGAGTACACCGGGTGCCGCGAGTAGATCATCGGTAGCGCCGTCAGCTCACCGCCGCCTGGAAGTAAACGTGTGTCACCGTTGTTAGGGCCATGCCACAGCTTTGAAGCATCGGTGACTTCATTGCAACACGCACTGTCGTCGGTGGTAAAGCGGATGTAGTGTTCGAACTTGGGCCCGTCGGGGTTGGAAATCTTGCGGTTGGCCATGGGCGCGGGGTACTGGAACGGCGCGTTGAAGGGCCGGAACCCGATGCACGCATAGACCGAGTCGCGCAGCGACTTCTCCAGGTTTCTAGAGAATATGAAACACAACACACACACCACAATAAGCGTCGTAACGAAGTGAGCGAGTGGTGGTCGTCGTCATTCTCTTTCAAGAGCCGGTGGCTAACGCACCGTGAGATGATGTGCCACAGTTCGTGCGTGAAGAGCTCGTGCATGGGAAGCGAGCCCCATGAGGGCGTCCACTGGATCATGTTCTGCGGCAAGAAGATCCCGTTCAAGCCTCGGCAGTACGCCGCCGTACCCTCCTCCAATCCTTTAACACACACGACACACAGACGACACACGCACACACACACGCGACACACACAGGGGACGTCAGTTGCAGTTCTCGGTTGGCCTCTTGTAATCGTTGGGCGAGCCAGCGGACGCACCGGTGGTCATGTTGAGGTGAACGATTTCGGGCACCAGCGAGGGCAGTAGCGGGTAGGCCTCCAGCTTGGCCGACACCGACTTGATCATGGCCTCCAGCTTCTGTCTCGCCACCACCACCCCAACCACAGCATTCAACAGATTAATACACAAAACAAAATAATAGATAAAAGAATAAAATTAAAATTAAAAAGAGCGCAACAGTGGCGAAGAGCAAACCTGGACGTCGGCTTCGGCAAAGGGAAGGACCTGGGCGGCCTGGTGGCTCATGAACTGTGCGACGGTGACCTCGCGGTCGTCCACCTGCGTCTTGGCCTGCAGGTCGAACACGCTCAGGCCTGCCGCATCAACAACAAATATTTTAGGTTTAACCATCACAAGCGCCAAGCAGATTAATGAGAGTACCTCGCACGTAGTCATCTTCAGTGGACAGGATCTTTTTGGCCTCGGCCAAGTCGTTAATCACCACGAAGCCTCGCGCGAACGGCACCTTGGTAATAGCGGGTGAGGACTCGCCTGTCTGCATTGTGGTATCTCTTCGTTCTCTATCTTCTCGGTCTTGCTTTTTGTCGTTGTTTCTTCAGAGCGAACTGAACCCATTCCACAAACTTATTAATTACATTAATGTTGCTCGGAAATATCCAAGAATCGAAAAAACGAAATACAGCGGAAAAACTGCCTGAATTAAATTAAATTTAATTGTTTTTTTCCTATTTTGCATGAACAGAGAAGTATGGACATGGGGTGGGTCGCACGAAGCGTAGCATAGCATGGCTTGGGGCAGTCGAGAGAAGGGGGAGGAGAGTAGAGAGAGGTCATCGCGGCGTGAGGCGGCTGTTGTCGTTTCGTGTCGAGTTCGCGCCTGGAGGCGACGGTCGCGTAGAGGTTCGTAGAAGAGGAAGAAGAAAGAGGAAGAGGGAAAGGAGTTCAATTAACGAGGGAGAGAGCGGGGGCGCGTTCGGAGGAGGGTTCTTCGGACTTGGCCTTATTGTTGAGGTCCATGAGGCTCTGGAGGCGGCGACGCCTCATCTCCTCGCGCTCGGCCAGCTTCCTCTTGAGCTCCGGCCAGTCCTTCTTGCGGAGGATGAAGCCGATGCAGTTGGGGGCGCCGCAGTTGCAGCGCCAGTTCTTCTCCATGTCCCTGAGGCCGCTCAGCCGGTAGCCGTAGTTGTAGCTCAGCTCCTCGCCTCGTCGGATGTCGCGCTTGGCCACCACCCAGATGTGGCCGTCGACCTTCTTGATGTGGCAGTTGCCTTCGCACGAGTGGTTGATGCGACCAGCCCGGTTCTCGGGCACGGAGCCGTCGATGCTCCACTTTTCGTCGAGGTTGAACACGTAGCGGCCCTGCTCCTTGCTCAGCACCTGGAAGATCGTCGCCCGCTCCATCTTTCTACCGATGTACTCGATGACGTAGCTGCCCTTCGGGAGGTCTGTCTGAGCGAACACGCCGTAGCCGTGGATGCCCGACATCCGCACCTCGACGCAGTTGTGGTCGTAGTGCCTCATGATCTCGTCGTGCGTGGGCGTCGTCGTGGCCATGACGCCGCCGGTCGACGGGTAGTGGTGATCGCCCATGACGTGGCTGTTCCGTCGACTGCCGAGGGCGGAAGATGACGAAGTAGCGGACTGGTCGCTGGTCGTTCGCCGGGTCGAGTGGTGGTGATGGTTGTTGAGGACTCCTTCGTCGAGGCCGATGCCGCTGCCGCTCTGCTTGCTGCTGCCCCTCTTGCTATCGAACAGCGACTTCAGGAACGAAGGAAGAGGGAGATAGCTCTGCACGCTGGTGGACTCCGTGGTGAATGTGGTGGGGTGCCCGGTGAGGGGGCGCTGGTGGTTCGGTCGGTGGTGGAAGATGAGGTGAAGATGAAAGTGAAGATGGAGTGTCGTAGACACAAGAAGTCTGAGGTAAGAAAGGGAAAGAAGGTGTGGGGAGTCCTTAAAAAAACCTCACACGAGCTGCAGGCCGTCGAGAGCAGGCTTGGGCGATGACAAAGGGGAGTCGCAGTTGAGTGGAGCTGGCTGTGATGATGCTGGAAGGGGTTGTTGTGTTGTGGGGGATGGGAAATGGAGGGCTCAACCCTGGCCTTTTGCTCTGCTGCCCCCGGGCGGCAATCTTCGCGATCTTGGCTGCCATTGGCGCAACTGTTCTGCGATCTGACCGAAAATTCGTTGGTCAAAATCTCAAAAAGCCGCTGAAGCCTCACACTGAGGTCCTCGCCAAAGCAGCCGCCAGACCGAAATGTCGCCCAAGTTGGGTGGCTTGTCCCCTGTGGCACCCAATGGACAACGCCAACAGTGGCAACATCAACACAGTTGATGGGATCTTCCCCACAGACACCAATAGAGTTCATGTGGTTTCTTCCCTGCTCCCCATCATCCACACTGATCCTGTTCTGCTAACATGATGGAGCATGCAGCACAGGACATTTGCTTATGTAGATGCTACAGGATGAGATGGGGTGCAGCATGCCACCATGAAACTGGAAATGGGTGGGAGTGGGCTGCTAGCATTCACCATGCACTCCACCAAACACCCCAAACCATCAATGCACAAGAGGGCAGGGGTGGAAGTGGGAGAAAGGTGGGTTAGAGTCCAGGAACTGTGTAACTGTAGCTGGACATATTCAAATGTTCAAACTTGAAACTCACACTGGGGTGAATGATGGTGTGTTATTGGTTGGCTTGTGGCATGCAGACATTGTAGAACATGGAGTTGGAGAAGATGGTTGGTGGATGCCAGCCCACCATGCCCTACTGCATGATGGCTTGGGGCACTTTGTTGCTGGTGTAGTGCAGGTAAAGAAGGAGCACTTGGTGTATCTTGTTGGCTGTTGGATTGTAGTGCAGGCCCAGCAAGGTGTACACTCCTCCTGTGGTTGAACCTTCAGTGGTGGTGGTGAGTAAGAAGTCTGAGCATGACCACACTGCAAGGCACCACTTACCAATCATCACTGGTGTGTTGTGATCTCTGAAGTGGGCCATGAGCTGCTTGCCTTTGGACTCAATCTCACTGCCTGATGTTACAAAGAGGATCTTGCATTCCACCTAAGATGTGGTGGGTGAGCAGGTGAGCAGGGAGGAGATAGAGAAGCAGAGACACATCCCCACCTCAAAGAGAGAGCTGAAGCACAGGCAGATCTCAAAGGACCTGATCCACTCCTGTGAGCCCACAAAGCTGGAGGATGGTGTCAGTGGGCTGTGGACTCAATCAACAACTGTGCAGGAGCCTGTACCTGGCTTGCTTCCATTCAGTGGCTGCTTGAAACAGTGTGTTTGCAGGAGAAGGGAAGCTGGTGCCATCCATCTGCATGATACAGCAAGCACTTGTGAACATTGGAGATAAACCAGTTGCTCCATCTCTACCAGTGTCAAACAAGAAAAGAAACTCATCGCTACAAACGTGTTTTGGTGGGTGTTTAATTCGGGATCGCATTGGCAAGCCGATTTACACAACAGTGCCGGCAGAGCTGGCAATACGGGGCCACAGATCGGCGCACTCCTTAGCCACGGGTCCAGTGATGGCGGAGCCCTTCATTTCGCCCTTGGGGTTCACGATCACGCCAGCGTTATCCTCGAAATAAATAAACACACCATCCTGCCGCCTGAAGGGCTTCCTCTGCCTGATGATGACGGCGGGGGTGACTGTTGACAAAGATGATGTCAGACAAGGGTCAGGAGGAAAGCTTCCTACAAAGGAGGGATTGAGAACGTACCCTTCTTCCTGAGCTCGGGCTTACCCTTCTTGACGGTGGCCATCACCATGTCGCCGGAGGCGGCAGCGGGCAGCCTGTTGAGGCGGGCACCGATGCCCTTGACGGAGATGACGTACAGGTTCTTGGCACCGGTGTTGTCGGCGCAGTTGACCACGGCGCCGACGGGCAGACCGAGGGTAATCCTGAACTTAGCACCAGTGGTAGCACCCGCTCCTGCGCATCGTAAGAAATGGGATCGGATCAGAAATCGAACAGATGGAATCTAGTCTTCCCGTACAACCCCACAACCAAAGCTTCCTCTAATGGAAGGGTAGCTGACCAAGGGGGCAGCAGCGACGTACCTCTCTTAGGCATGTTGACTCGGTGGGGGGATGGACGATGTAGAGGAAGAAGAAAGAAAGAAGGATTGCCTCTCGGCCAAACCCGGTATTTGCCTCGGCTCGGCGGTTGTCGACAGATATTCCCCTTTTTTCTCCTTCTCGCTCTCTCGTCCTCGGGCCAAAATGCAATTAAAAAATGATTTAATTTTCGTGGCACCAATCTTTGCGTTCTTTTTTTTCCTCCTCTTGTTCGCCTGCCTCCACGGTGAGGTAAACCCTCCATCTCGTCTCATTCGCACCCTCCTCATCTCATCTTCTTGCCTCCCCTTCGTGTCTACTACTCCACCCCTTCTCTTCCGCCAGCTCTCTGCGAATAATGGATCCGCCGGAGCAACCAAAGGGGGAGGCACCTCCTGCTGCTGCGGGAGAGGGAGAGTCCAACAACAAGCACGGGGACCTCTCCTGGCAGAAGGAGGACTGGCGCAACACACAGCGCGCTCTCGGTACACCCCCCCCCCTTCTCTTCCACCTTCTCTCTTTTGGCACTGCCCCGTGCGTGTTGGTGGAAAGCCAAAGAGCGAACACCATTTGGTCAGCGATGGCTGCGATTGGTGTTTGAAGAAATTACAACGAGGCACAACCGCGCTCGAGCGCTTCGGCCTTTTATGCCCCACACGGGCCTTTGCCAGTGCGCTCGCAACTGATCGTGGCACCTCTGCTGGCCTCCGATGGTGGTGGTTGCTGGTGCGCGGCTGCGGTCGGACATGGGCCGGCGCGGTGGTGGTGGCGGCGGTTGGCGGCGGCGAAGAGCGCGACAAACACAACCTAACTCCGCGCGCCACAGGCAGCAAGAAGTCGCAGGCGAAGGCGAGCGGCAAGCTGGCCGAAGCCGAGGGCATCGTGACCGAGGCCAAGAAGGCCATCACCGCCGAGAAGTTCGACGACGCCCTGCGCCTCTTCCCCCAGGCCCTCTCCGTCTACGAGGGAGTCGTACGTCCGCCCCTCCCTCTCTGCACACGCACACGCACACGCACACGCACACGCACACGCACACGCACACGCACACGCACACGCACACGCACACGCACACGCACACGTCGTCGACGCACACGCATACGCACTCATCGTCGACGCGATACAGGAAGAAGATGAAGCGCAGCGCGAGGGCATGTTTCACCTCTACTTCTCGTGGGCCTTTGCGCTGCAGGAAAAGGGCAAGAGGGAGTACCTCCATATGTACGTCGCGCCCGCCTATGCCAAGCGTTATATAGGCCGCGTGGTCGTGCGCGCGTGACAGCGGTGGCGCCGATGCCAGGTCGCAGCTCGAGCTGCTGACGAACATAACCTTGACTATTTATTTCTATTTTATATGTTTATAAAAGGGAGGGCCAGGACGAAGCCAAAGTGAACGCTGTGGACAACTGGTTCATCGAAGGCATCAAGAAGCTGAAACTCGCGCTCGAGAAGAGCCCCAACAACCCGCTCGCTCTGGTCCGTCGTCTCCTTCGGCGTTATTCTATTGTTATCGGTTTTTTTTGAATTATTGGTTTTAGTTTAGTTATTATTGTTATTTGTTAGTTATTATTGTTATCTATTATTTGTTATGTTGTTCTAGTTTTAGTTTTTGTTTGGCTGACGGCGACACAGCATTCGGCAGCGTGTGCGTTGATTTGTCGCGGCGACCTGCGCGATGGCATACCGGCCGACAAGCGCTACGCCAAAGCCTGCGTCAAGCTCAAGTACTACAACCCGACTTCACCCCCCTTGCCCGCTCCTACTTCGCGTGTGCGTGTTGCTCACCCGCGCCTTGGCGTATACAGGCGAGCCATCGACTCCAACGACGAAAGCGAGACACCAGCGGCTCTGTGGCGCACTTGGGGTAACGCCGCCCTCAAGCGAGGTACCGCCTTCCCTGCGTGTCGTGTCGTTGGTCGTGTCGTTGGTCGTGTCGTTGGTCGTGTCGTTGGTCGTGTCGTTGGTCGTGTCGTTGGTCGTGTCGTTGGTCGTGTCGTGTCGTGTGTGCGCATTCTCACACTTTGCTCTTGGCTACTGCAGCACAGTTGCGTAAGGTCAAGTTGGACGAGCGAGAAGAGCTGGTTAACGAGGCCGCCGAGAAATACGAAAAAGCGCTCAAGGCCGACCCCGAAGATGGGTGAGCCCCCTCCCCCCTTCTCTCTTTTCTTCTCTCTTTTTCCCGCTCTTCTCTCTTTCCGCTTCTTTGTCGTTAGATGGCACTGACGACTTGTGTCGGCCTTGCATCGCGTGCGGTGCATGCGTTGTTGTGTGCGCAGTGTCACAAGCCACACCTACGCCCTATTCATGCACTTTAAGGCCAACGATCTCCTCGCGCAGGCCGTCCGGCAGAAAGACGTGGTGCGTGTGGCGTTTGTTTGCGATGCGCACCGCTACGCGAGTCCTAGCGCCATAGCTCACCCGTTTCATGTGTGCGTGTGCGGTGGTGCGTGTGCGTGCGTAGGAGCCAAAGCTGCAGCTGCTACTGAAGGTGCGCGAGGCTCTCCTGACGGCCCTTGAATACAAAAACGACTGCACACCGGCCATCGCGCTCTGGAGCAGCTACCTTGAAGTCCACGTCGAGGTACTCCACAATCGATGCCTTAGTAGTGAAACAAAGCAGCAAACCTGATCTTGGCAATAATGGTCTCCTCTGTGCTCATCATCATCGTCATTATCGTCAACAACAACAGTACATCGCGCCCGAGCGACAGCTGCAGATGCACCGCGAGTCGAGAGAGACACGCAAGATCGTGGATTGGCTGAACCTGCGCCATCTTCTCCAACAGCGCGTACGGCTCCACCACCACCGCCACCACACCTCGCGATTGACACTCGTGTGCCGTGTGCGCCGTGTGTGCTGTGTGCGTGCCGTGTGTGCCGTGTAGACGGACAACATTCTCTACTTTGGATACGCTGTCAAGCAAGGCGGGAATCGCCCCAATTGGTACTCACTGCTCTTCTCTGCTGTTCAGCACCTTCCGAGGCCATCATTTAACTGCTCCGAGCGGGGCGTGCACTGTGCAGGAAGCGGCGGTTCTTCGTGCTGACGCCGAAGAAGCTGTTCTACTACACGGAAGCCGGAGGGAAGATGAAAGGCAAGATCCTCCTCAACCAAGTCGCCAGCGTGACCATCGCAAACGTACTTTCCCGCGTTCCTTTCACCGCACACGCACTACCGCACGCACCACGCACATACCGCACACCTGGGCTGACGCGCATTTGTGGATGCTGCCAGGCGCCGCTGGCTCCGCGGGTCGCGCTGGGGCTCAAGGGAAAGGGCGGCCCCGAGAACGAGCGGGAGGACCCGGCGGTCTCGGCCGAGACCCGAAAGGGGGAAGGTCAGGCGACTGACATCGACGGCTGGGACGAGGACGGCTACGGGTTTCACCTCGTCACACCCGGGCGGTACCCACCCCCACTCACGAGCTGCACGCATCATTGTAGCTGACACACGACACGACACGACACACGACATGGCACGACACGACACAGAACGTTCAATGTGGTGGTGGACTATGCGAAGCAGCGAGACCAGTGGACAGACGCGATTTATCAGGCCATCTCGGTGATCCCCTCTCGACCAAGCGGGAGCGCGATCGAAGGCGGCGCTGCGGGCGTGGCCAAGGGCAAGGGGCGGCTGGGCATGCTCTCCAGTATTCGCAAGCGCGCGTCTCGCGGGAAGGACCTCAACGAAGAGTTGTGAGCCACAGTCGTTAGTAATTTATTATGCCGCAGCAAAACCAGCGTAGTGACGCGTCCTCCAGGTTGTTTGGTAGCCGCAAGCAGGAAAAACGGGAGAATGTCACGACAAAAAAATGATTCCGGCGAGTGTTGATCTCGCGACCTCAAGCGTGTTAGGCTTGCGTGCTACCGTTGCACCACGGAATCTTGGTGTTAGAAAAACAACATACTGTACATGCGAAGAGAGACTGTAGGCAGGCAGACTGAAACCTAAAAGAAGGGCTGCTGGAGAGGTGACGGCAGGCAGCGTGTGTGTTGCGAGTAACAACGTTAGCTCTGCCGGTCAATGGCTTGGGCGCGGAGGCACAGGGCGTCGACGGTGACCAGGGCTGATTGAGGCCGACGAGATACCATCACCAGTTCGCGGCCCAGGGCCAGGGCTCTCCGTTCGCACTGGGCGCGCACGGCAGCATCCCTGACCCCAATCCACCCAATCCACCAATCAGCAAACCCTTTCCACCTCGTACGTGTCGTGTGTTGTCGCGTTGCGTTGTGCGTTGTGCGTGTGCGTGTGCGTGTGCGTTGTGGAATTACTCGATGGCGTCGAGTTCGAGGGCGTGGGCGAGTCCCACGATCCGCCGTATCATGGCGCTCCCAGCGTAACCCAGCGTATCGACCCACACCTGCTCCACCGCCGCTTCCGCCTCTCTTCGCTGCAGAATCGCACAATCAGTTCCCACCTTGTGTTATGTGTGTGTGTGTGTGTCGTGTGTGTGTTTAAGGCCGGACACACCTCGTGATCTGAGTCCTCGCGGTCCGCTTCCCATAGGGCGGTGAAGCGGCGCACAAAGTGGCGCCACAGCTCGCGGATGGTGTCCAGCAGCCACAGCTTGTAGGCCTCCCGCCCGCCCGCATGGCTTTGGCCCTCCTTGTCGGCGTGGCCGGCCTGGCTGAAGAACCCCAGCAGCAGGTTGCCCACCAGCAGTCCCACATCGAAACCTACATCAACGCACCCACGAATCACACACAGTAACCACCATCAGCGCCAACACACGTGTGTTGCGTGCGGTGTGTGCTGTGCGCGTGAGCTGTACCGATGGGTCCAAACCATGCAAACTGGGATGTGAACAATGCATTGGGGCCGGGTGAGACAATGCTAAGAGATGGGTGACACGTGTGGTGGGTGGTGGTGGTGGTGACACGAACCTCGGGGTCGATGACACGGGTGTCGTCGGGGGAGACCATGACCGAGCCCGTGTGCAGGTCGCCGTGCAGGAGGGCCTCCTTGTGCGTCAGGAATCTCACCTTGAGCTCTTCCGCCCGCTCCTTGAGCTCCTCGTCCTCGCGCAGCTCCTGATGCCGCACATGCCGCACATCTCTCGTGTCATTCGCAAATTGATAGCAGAAGAGAGCGCGGT